CAGATTGTGATCACGCCACACCGAATATTTTAAATTTGGTTTTACGTCAAAGCAAGGAAAAGAGAGTAGAGCAAACATGATAGAAAAGGGATTGAGAAAATTGCGCTTGTAATGAATTTCCCTTTCAAGAAAGCTCTACAGTTTGACAAAATAAGGCAAAGACCGACAATATTATTCAAACATGGGCAGTAAGCTAGATTTTTTCACTTTTGAGCTATAAAATCACACATCAAGATTGCCAACACATATCTTCGCCCATATAATGACAAGATAAAATACAAAATAAATACAAATTGTTACTTATCAACACTGAGACTACAGTGTAAATATCGACCTTTTTGCAAATCAAAACTTTCCTTGCAAGATTGATGTGCAATTGGTTGAAAGCTTAGCTGAGGGCCGCATTAATGGCCCTGCTGCTTTCATTGTTTGATTTTCTCTCTATGCTCTCAAAAATAACAGTTCTATTTCAGTGTATGTAGTTTTTTCATCGCTCTCAGACTCGTACAGCCATGTACCCAATACAATTGACACACAAAAACCCTACATATTTATTAGACTTCATTAGCCTACTCTAATTAATCATTTTTCGCAGGAATCCTTTGTAAAATAATTTTTTCAAGATTAGAAGTGTGCTATATGGGAGTAAGAAAGGATACCAAATATATTTCACAAAGAATTCGCGCAAAAAATGTGTACCTTTTATGAGGAGAGGTTTCCCTTGCGTTCATCAAATGATCAAATAATAAATTTAAGTCAGTATGTTTTAAAAAAGGAAAAAAGATACTCATTGACACTCGTACATCCACGCTCTACGCCATACACATGAAAGCGTCCATCCACTTCTGGTGCCCACATTGTGGTCACAGTGAGTCCGACTGCCCCTCGTTGTCCTCCAGGAGGCAGTACTTGGCGCACGGCCCGCCCCGGGCCCCGTGGTCCAGGCCGTCCACGGCCTTGTCGTGGTCACAGGGTGCAGGGGCGGGCCAGTCGCGCTACAAGTGCTGCTCCAGCTCCTCCGGCGCATCGTTGTCGCCGGGCGGCGAGGGCCCGGACACGGACAGCACCGGCATCTCGTACTGCCCTCGGCGGCGGTGCCGCTTCCTGCGCGCCGCCGCCGACAAGCTCGGCGCCTCCTCGTCGCCGGCGCCGTCCTCGGCGTCGTCCTCGTCGTCGTCCGCGCCACCGCCGGCGCCGCCGCTGACCGACACGGCCGCGTGCAGCGGTATGTTCTCTGCCGAGCGCGCGCGCCGCGCCCAGGGCCTAGCCAGCCCCGAGGCGAGCAGCGAGGCGGCCAGCGTGCGCGCCGAGCCCGCGTACCCGCTCGCCGAGGAGGTGCCCGCGCACCCCGCCGTCGACCCCGACCGCTGCGCCGAGGCTGCCGCCGCCGCCGCGGCCGCGTGCTGGCACTCGGCGCTGATGTAGATGGCCGAGTTAACGCGCGACCGTACCAGCGGCGCCAGCGGCCGGTGGATCTGGATGGAGGAGCGCGTCCGCAGCCAGGACTCGTCCGCGTCGTCGGCGCTGCAGTGCGCGGGCCAGTGGAGGTGGTGCTGCAAGCACAACAGAGTCAGTGCGGGGTCCGGGACGCGGAGCGCCACGCCGCGCCAGGGCGAGCAGGGCTCGAGCGTGGAGAAAACGGGCCACCTGCTCGGCGGGCTGCCTCCCTACCCTGGCAGGGCGTGCTCACTTCGTAAAATAGGAGGTTTTGTCAGCCACCTTCAACAGCACAGTTAGTTGAACGCGTGTTATTTGGTGACAAACGTGAAGTCAGCCTATGTACATTCTGCAAAATAGTACAGGTATACAAAAGCGTTATGAACATATATACACATACAGCTAAGGGGTGTCAATCAATACACAGGATTAGGAACGAGCAGATTATAATTTCACATTTACAGGGGAGTGGCATATATTCACAAATTTTAAAATGACATTCAAGACTTGAAAATATTTGTGGCCCTTCTTTGACAAACACGAAATTTAGCACCTGTCGAGTTTTTAGTTCCTTTTGCCGAGGCACTTTTTAAATGGTGCTGATAAGCACCTTTGCTTTTCCCGGTGTGGTTTTGGATTTACAGTAGTTCTGTCACGTGTTGTCACAGAGCAATGCCGGTGAAGGGCACAGCGGACGGGGTTTGAAGGGTGGGAGTTGGGGGTAGTGTGCAGGCGGGCACGGCCCCGGGGGCCGGGGCGGGGCCGGGGTCGGCCGGAGGGGTGCATTAGCCTTAGTTCCGAAATCAATAGGACAGAGCAAAGGCCGAACAGACCACCTGCCTGACCACACAAAGTGCGCCCAACTCTCCCAAATCCACACAACGGAGCGGGCGTGTGCAATGTAAAATAAACCAATCAGCATTTTTACAACAGTTTGAAATTTTCAATTATCAACACAATTTAAAACTGTAATGTTTGAACACAAATGTAAACTGTAGGGTTTTAGATTTAGAATTTTGATTTAAAGGTACGACTTAGCCGATTTGTACAAAAATGATATGGAAAGTCCAATAAAATACTTCCGTTTTTCTCAGTTTCATCCGCCAAGTCACGTCTGCTTGGCGCCTGCGAGTCTCTGGGTAGGCCGACCCGCAGTACACATATGCACTGCAGGCAAGATGTTGCCTATCTACCAGGCGCTATGAGAGCTTGCAGAAGCTAAACTTGGCTGGTTCATAACCACGAATGATGGACGTACTATCGGGACGATCCCTTAGGCTTTATTTGCAGTGTGAATGGTTGGATTGGGCGACTAGTCCGTTGCCACTGCCGGATGAAGTAGGACTCATGCGATTGATTTGTCTCCATTTATCTCACGATCGTGCCATGTGCCATCGTTAGTGAGTACACTTGTGGACAAAAGCAAGTACCCCAGCACGGCGTTTACATGTTTCTCTCTCCCGAAGAATGATTGTTAGTTGTCAGTCAGTGCGGAGGTATTTGCTCGCACGCCACAAAGCTCTTGTCATTACCAGGTGGGTTGGGGCCGGAGGCCGCGGCCGCGCCGCGCCACTCTCCTGCTTGTCCTGCAATATGTGACGCTAGGCGTGAGAAACAAGTTACAAAGCGACAGGTATGTGTGCGTCGTGTGCAAGACTATGGTGGAAACAAAAGATAACCAACAGGATACTGGATTGTTTGCGTCATACCGCTCTTGTCTGATCGCCTGGTCAAATGGGTTCGATGGAAATGAACTACGATCTACTCTTTTCGTTTACGTGTGCCGAAGAAAGCCAAATTTCTAGTTCGTCTTGTCAAGCTTGGAGGGTAAATCTTTATACTGTGGGTAACTATAGATAGGGTTGGGTACAAGAGCGCGCCTATATCTACGGCTCTTTTACTCACTAGAATCATGCCGACTATGGAATGGCCCACCGTACCTACCATAGACCTGTGCAGGACTGGAGAGGCCTCCCTGCCCCAGACCCGGTCTTTATACTCCTACAAAGGACGCACACAATTTTAAGACAAAATTAGGACGGTTTTAAACGGCGGATGCCGCAAAAGTATAAGCAATGTGACACTTCACGGAAACGGTTGTTGGCCTTCGCGTGGGTTTATGAGGCAGAGCCGGCCAGTGCCACCCTGGTCTAAGGCTATGATAAAGGAGAGGAACACCGGAGTCATTTAAGAAAAAAATATCTCTACTACTGACTGTAAACTCTAATGGACGTAAAAATAATTGGAAATGTTTGGTGGTTCTAAGTGGGGAGGAGATCGAATGGAGTTTAAAGAGCAGTAAAATCACCCACTAATAAAACACACAACACACGCTAAAGCAGTTAATAAAAGGTAGTGAGCCAGCCCTGCTGACAGCCAAGCCACCCTAGACGTCGTGGTGGGTGAGAAGCATGACCGACTCCAAAAGGGAGGCCTCACACTGCTGCGGCTGTACAACGCTTAGGGTGCCGCGTGCCGAGGTGGAGGTGTTGGTGGATGTGGTGGTGGCGAGGCAGTTTAGGTGGGGGGGACTTACGCGAGACCCTTGGCCGCCTGGAGGGCCGAGGCCGGCGGCGGCAAGGCCTTTTGGCGAGGCCGTGGGCGAGGGCCAGGGCGAGGGGCATGCCGGGCTCGACGCCGAGTGCTAGGTGTCGGCCCGGTGCAGGAGGGCGAAGCGACAGTTGCAGTCTCGGGGCTCGGGCCGTGGCGACGCGTAAGAGCTGAAGCACTGCTCCAGCACGCAGCAGCCCTGGCAATGTGACCACCGTGCACGCGTTAAGGGTCGCCACAAAAAATGCCGCAAGCGACGGAAGAAATCACCGCGCTCGGAAACAAAATGAATAACAGGACAACACATAGCCCCGTCACACTACTCTATCCAGAGGGAAAGTGGTGCGGCCCTCCTAAGTTCTACTTTACAGCACACATGAACGACTGTCGCTTGCAACGTTTTGTGGCCACCCTATGTCCAGTCGCGCGTGGACGCTCTGTAGCAGGCCTCGCCTCACCCGCTGCCGCTCGAACGACGTGTCGCTCAGCGGCCCTGTGCGCTTTTACTGAATGTCTGTGATGTTCCTTTGTGTGTTTTTGACGCAAGCACGCGTCTATTCCTCGAAACGGCATTTAACACCAACAAAAAAAGAGACAAAAGTAGTGTGAACAAAATGTAACAGTGGGAATGACAACACAAAAAGGGATTTCACACAAACAGTCAAACTGTTGGTAAGGGCGTGTAAACGAAGGGGTCGAGCTAAACCTCTAGAGATTTGAAATCCAGGCATCTGCACAGTGAGAGACATTCACATTCCGAACAGGTCGCAGCGCCCGAACTAGCACGGGCTCATGCAGTCCTCGGGCACACATGCCCGACTCGCTCGCCGTCAACCTGTTGTCTGCAAGAGTAAAGGCGATGACACGAAGCCCTACACTAGTCCTGTGTGTGTTGGTGTGAGGGTACAGTGTGCTGTGCAGGTGCCTGCCTTCCCTTTTCTCTCTCTCGCACTCTCTCACTCTCTGGTGGACCTACGCTCTGGTCGCCCCCGGCTTGCGTGGACGCTTCGGGCCGGGCGCGCGGGGTTGGGCGCCCATAGGCAGCCCTTTGCAAGAGGCGCAGAGAGGACGCTCAGTCAGAACCTCCTGGGACGAGCTCATAGGTCTAGAAGAACATGCATGCGACAGAGTTAGTGGCCTTGTCAACGGGCGTGCACGTTCAAGGAAGGTTCGGCTCAGGACACCCGGGCGGGGACTCGATGAGGTGCGTGCGCATGGGCGCGAGGCGACTCCTGGTGGGAAAACCAAACGGATGAACACAATGGGCATGGGTCGAGTGATCGGAAATCTGTAGAAAGCACGAGCAAGTCGATGGGCGTTTATTGCGACCGATGAAAGCAATACCATGATGTGGTCGATGTCAGCGAGAGAACGAGAAAGTAATGCTTCAATGAACGTTGAGATTTTACTCGAGTTCGTGTGAGAACTGTCTCCATTTCAGTTTGAGATGGAGAGAACATAAGAACGAAGCAGTATGGTATGGACTGCAAAGTGAATGACAAGCCTTGTGCAAATTATGATATAGCTTCCACAAAAATGGCGATGACGATTTGATGCAAGTCTGATCTCTTCTGCTGGCCATGAAATTAAACTATAACATTGACATAATTAATCTTTAAAGTGAATTTTCTTTTTGTAAGCGTGTGCTATTGCTACGTTTTACTTACAAAATTGTGACAAACTGGAAAGGAGGGGCACTTATGAGGTGCACACTGTAAAACAAAAACAATATTTTTCAAAAAAAAGTGGAATTGTATTAATGATTTTGCCGCTGTCGGACTTGCGAAATGTGAAACGGTTTTCCTTTCTATCTATGATTAATGTTGTGGGCTCCTTTAGGATGGGAAAGGGAAAAGGATGTCTACGGATGTCCTTTCGAGAACCTTCCTCCAACATGGCTGTGGCTGACCAAAATGTGATAGGTCCTTTATTATTTCGCGATCGTGGATTGATAAAATTCAAAAATGTTTCAAAAACGTTTTAAAAAATTATTTTCTGTTTTTTTTTTTGTTTATCTTAGAAAAGGAAGAGAAGAACCTTGAGACTCCAGTTTACCTGTGAACACGACGAGGCGTGCTGGCCGGCGCAGGGCGCGCCGCCGCCGCCGCTGCAAGCCCCCGTGCCAGGGACCTTGAGCTGCTCCTTGTAGTCGGGCTGGTATGGCAGCAGCATGCGGATCTTTCCCCACCGGTTGAAGAAGAGCACGATGGCGCCCACCCACACGACGAGCACCAGCAGCACGATGCCCACCTCCACGCCGCGGACCTGCGACCACCCGCCGGACTCGGTAAGTCAGACTCAAGAGGTATCAGTTCACTAGGAACGCGCCACCATCCATGGGCAGTCGGCAGGCCTTTGAATGGCGTGAAACGTGACTAAAGCGCCTGTGAAGTTGAGGGTAGGCAACCATCGCACATCGATGCGATTCGTGGCCTACCTCGCAGGCTGCCACTCTAGCGAGAGCCGCTGGCTGGAGACCCATAGGAAAAAAAAATATATACAGGGGAGCTGGTACGATAGTTCAAATAGAGAGAGCGCTAAAGTACTGTACTGATCTAGGTAGGAATAGTCGGGTGTCGTGAACACATTTTTTATTCAAGTGGAATCTAAATGTGCGCGCTACAGTGCACATAGAAGTGCCCAAAAGCGATGGTTATTATTGACGTTAAGTTATTTTAGAGCTAAGGAAATGTGGTCTTCTACTATCAAACTACGAACGGGTTTTGTTGAAAAAGCCGTCAATCGAACTACACAAAACAATTGCCTTGGCGAGCACCAGCTCAAAGTGGTGCTCGCTCAGGCAGTTCCGAGCTCCCGCGCCGCACCCATTTTCCCGTGGTTAAGCGTCAAAAGATTCGGCAAAACAATGCCGAGCGCCAAACTCTTAAGCACAGTGTCTCGAGTAGGTGGGATCGGCATGCTTCTGCTTGTGACTATGAAGGTGATATGCGAAATATATCACAAGTTTTGCAAAGAGACAGTATACACGAATGATCTTGGCGAAGAGAACTACCAATGCAAGTAGTGAAAAGAAGTGTAACATATTTTACAAGATGAGAGCACGATTATTATTTCAAATCACGAGAAAGAGGAAAACCACAAAAAATAGAGATATAGAGGTAAAAAATATGTTAAAATTCCTGGCGAGGTGCAGCTCAGGTCGTTCTCGTCCGGTAAGGGTATACATACTGTGGACCACACCTGAATGAAATCTTGCGGCACGGGGGGGTTGGGGGGGATGACGAGCCCCTTGTTGCTCTTGGAGGGGCTGGCGGGGCCGCCGGGGACGCCGGGGCCGCCAGGGGGCCCGCTGGCCGCACCTACCCCGGGGGAGCCTCGGGCCGCGCCCAGGGCGCCGCCGAGCGCGCCCAGCGGGGGCAGGACCGTGGCCGGAGGGGCGTCGGGGTCCGCTGCAACAAATCAAGAGGACATGTGTTATCTCAGTATAACGTGTAGGGTTTTTCAAGAGTATCGCGAGCACCAAGAAACCCGCGGTGTGGTGTAGGTAAGGGGTGAAAAGGGAGGGGAGAAACAGCTGGACACCCCCCCCCCCTTTCCCTTCTCTCTTTCTCCTTGCGGTTGGGGAGTTCTGTCAAGCACAAGTCGATCAAGTTTAATAATTCTGCTCGCTCTGGACGCGTGGTTGGGGCTGAGGTGGAGGGCCCGCTCTGTTACACTCCCCTGCGGCAGCATCACGGCCCGTCATCATCGTGAGAGTCCCACGCATGCACCGCGGGGCGCCGGGTGCGCGCAGTTAAGCCCTTCAGCCCTCAGCAGCCGGCGGCGCGCAGACGGGGGTGGCCGGCCGGCCCCGGGCCGAGGCTCGACCGCGGCAAATAGACACGCCTGCGTCACCGCGGATAGGGCGTGGGGAAAAGGCATGAATGCGTAATCGGTGCCCCTTGGGGCGTGGCGGAGCCTCCCGTCCGCCGGGGATATCCTCGCGGCGCCCGCGTCACCATAGCAGCCATCACCACCACCACCACCCCCTTGCACGCACCCGCACACGTCAGTGACGTCACTCGCAAACCTCAGGGACGTCATCCGCCACACGTCAGTGACGTCACTCGCAAACCTCAGGGGACGTCATTACATTAGTGACGTCACCCGCGCGCGACGCGTCACGCAGGAAACAATCCAATTCGCATCGCATCGGTGCCCTCCTTGCTGTACTGTACCGCCGCCCTTTCAGGGGTTTTCATTTCAGCGATGGGTGCGTGGCGTGGTCGTGGCGTGGACTGTACCCAGCCGTATACGATGATGGCGGTCCACCTTCGTCGAGGCGTAATCGTATAAGAGAAGAAAAAAGAGACAAACGTAAAAAAAAAACAACAACAAAAAATAACTCTTTTTGAATTGTAGAAAAAAAACTGTGCAGGATTGAAAAAAGTCGGGAAAAGTTTTTCGCCAGTGTAATACGGTAGACTGGCATTCAATTTGAACGCCAGCGTTGTTTACCCGAGGCGCTGATGGAGCCTTCCCCCCGCGACGGCCTTTTGCCTTCCCTGCCCGCGCCATCACATCCGAAAGGTCATCGCGGCCGTTATCTCCGCGCTGATGTAAATGCGACCTGCTGGAGGAGGGAGAGGGAGGGGGGGGGG